TTTGAAACACAGGATGCAAGAGAAATCGGTCTATACGTGGAGATCTCATTCGCATCTTTATTAGGTTTTTTGATTAAAATTGTAATATACTTATTCCAGGCCCCAATTACTTCCGGATTTGTCCATACTTTATTCAACAATTTTAGTAAAATCTCTTTTGCCACCATTGGCAAGTTTATGAGCATAGAATAAAATATTCCATCCATACCTGGTGCGGTATCAGTACCTTTAATTAAAGCAATTTCTAATTCCCACAATGTAAAAGGTTTCACTAATAGGAATGTTTCGCGTCCAAAAACCTTTTTATCCACATTGAAATAATCATTTCTAACACTAGATGGAGCATAAGTATCAATAATATTATCAATCATCATTGGGTTAACGTTTTCTTGTAAATTTTCAGGTTCTATATATTTTTTCAAACATTTAATTGTTCTAAATACTTCCCTGGTAGACGTATTTGGTTTGATATTATTTGTATATTCATGCCAACTATCTCTCTTCTTTCTTCTGAATATCGTTCTGATTTCAGCATTAATGTTTTTACATATTAAATAATTATGGTAGTTAGATTTCTGCCTATAATTTTTTTCTGCGTCTCTTCTTTTCCTAATAAGTTCGTCGCACTCATTATCCCACCAAATAGGTTTAAAGTGTTTGATATTGGAGCATATTCTCTTTTTTGGTATACTTTTCTCCGCTGCAATATTGATTATGTTCATAAATTCTGTATAAGCAACAACCGGGTCATTTACTTCAAAATCATTTGAGTAATACTCAATTACTTTTTGATATTTTGTCCAGTCGGCAGCTTTGCAATTCCAATATTCCCTAGTTCTATTTATAATAGGTGATTCTCTTAGTTGCATCATTATTGGATAATGATCAGATCCAAGAGAATGTTTCCTGACATTCCATACAATTTTATGTGCCACCTCGTGAGTACACAATGTAATGTCTACCACTGTCGAACTATTCTTAAAATTCAAAGTCGGATTCCCGTCATTTAATATAATTAAATTGTTGTCATTAATAACTTCCAATAAGTTATTGCCAATCTTATCATTCCAATTACACCCCCATGCCATATGATGTGCATTAAAGTCACCACAAATTATGTAAGGTTTGGATATCTGACTTAATAAATCATTCCATTGACTAACAGAAATATTATAGTTAGGTACAATATATACCGAAATTATAGATAGTTGATGTTTTCCTGCACAAAATTCTATACCAGATATTTGGAATTTATTTATATCAATTGTTCCCGTATTAAAAGCTAATACTTTGTTTATAATTATTTCATTCTTAACTAGAATTGCAGTACCACCATACCCATCTTTTCTGTCACTGCGCACAGTCTTATATCCCCTGAGCGAAAATTTCCTATCACTCTTCAACCATGTTTCTGAAAATGTAGCAATATGTACTTTGTTTTCAAATAAGAAATGCTCAATACTACTTTTGTTATGTATCAAAGACCTACAGTTGAATTGTAGAATATTTGTTACCATAAAATAAATTGTAATTGTGATTGTATAATTTTCTTTTGCACATTTTCCATGCGCTCATTAACCTTAATTTCTCTTATTGTTGTCCACATCTCCTTCACTACCTATTCTATTCATTACCTCTCTTAACATTTTGTTGATGTCTTTATTATTAGGTTTGTAGTGTTTTTTAACTAGTTTGATAAATAAATTCAAAAATTCATCGGTATGTTCTTCATTGACGTTCTTTATGGTATCTACTTCTTTCTCTTTGTCTTTGTTATCAACTTCATTCCTAGTGGATACTCGATATTTTTCTCTAAAACCTTCCCTATCTGTATGCACCCTGTTCCTTTCACTTGATTCCCCTTTTGATTTATCTTCTTTTCTATTAATTATATTATTATATTTGGTTCTTTCTTGTTTTTTGGCAATGTTTCTCTTGAAGGGTCTTGTAGATGTACTGTACAATATTGATGTGCTGGCCGATACCGGTTCATCATTGTTATCTTCCAGGTCAGATAAAATTTCAAATTTATTTCTAAGAATGTTGTTGTTAATTTGTAAACTTTTCCTGCTTTCTGTGCTTATCACTGGGAAATTCTTTTCTTTGTCTAAATTGGTTAGACTACCTCTGGTTATTCTGGCATACTTGTTGTTTTCTACAACTGACCTTGCTTCGTGAAAAGCTAAGTTTTGTGTTGCCATTATTTCATATATTTTCTTATATTTCATAAATATTGGGCATTCCCTATTATATGCTGCATGTTTACCAAAACACAAGCAGCATCTTAAATCGTCCGTATTTATGCAATCTTGTAAGGCGTGATTTTCTGCGCATTTTGGACATCTTACCTCTCCTCGACACTGATCACGAACGTGGCCGAATCTCCAACATTTGTGGCATTGTATTACTTTTTTCACGAATGGTGTTACTGGGCATTTAACAGAGTGGATCGCTACTTTTTCTGGTAATTTTGTCCCTTTAAAAGTGAGTTTAACACACTGTGATTTGTATGTCTTATGATTTTCTTTTTTCGATCTTATACATTTAACTCCCACTATCGGATACTCGGATTCGATGACATCCACAATTTCTTCCTCAGATAATTCGCTATCTACGTCAAAAATGATTCCGGTCCGCACCGTTAAATATTTGGGGATATACGCTCTTAGATTATTCGATTTGAAAAAATCACCATCTAATAGTCTATTAGCTGTCACACCATTACTTAAAATCAATTTTACTTTGTTTTTACCAATTACTCCAATTTCTTCCAAATTTGTTTTCATATTTGGCCATGCATCATGAATTTTTTTTCCAAGTGCCATAGGATGCAGGCGTCCTATGTTTTTATTATAAGATTCTACGTATATTATATATGGTCCTTTATCGTAACTGTCATATCGTACTTTATCCTGTTCGTAATTGTCGGGCATCATTTCGTTTTCTTTGTCATTATGTTTTGTTATTTTACTCGAGTCCTCACCACAATTATCAAATTGCATTACGTTATCTAACTCATGAAAGTCATGCAACATTTTATCATTCTGATCATTTATTTCGGTATTACTCGACCCCGCACTAATATTTTCATTGGTCATTTCTTCGTTGTTTGCATAAGTTGTTGTTTCACTTAAATCCTTATCGCACTCATCAAATTGCATAACGCTACTTAATTCTTGACTGTTCCGATTTGCTTCAGTATTCTGATTGATATTTACAATATTCGATACCATAGTATTTCTTTCATTACTTGTTCCATTACTATTATTATAATTTGAAATATCACTATTATTTGTTATCTTAGACGCCGTGTCATTGTTATTATTTCCAACAGTATGTATAATATTTTCGGTTCTTCTAAGTTTGGTTGCACTTTTGCCAATTACTTTATTCATAATTTTTAATTTATTATCTTCCTTAATTGTTTTATTTTTGTTACTGTTCTTTTTATCTTTACTATCTGATATTGCAGAAATTCTGGTATGTTTTTTATACTTATGTAATAATCTGTTCTTAATTACATCTACCTCACTCATGATGCTACTAGGATTTTTGTTTGAATTATAATGTACTTCTAATTCTTCTTCACTAATTTCACTCATTAACATTTCATTATCAAAACTATCATTTATCGTATTCATTGCCGTTGCAATTGTTTCACCGATTACCGAACACTTTGTTGAACAATCGGGCGGCCGTCCGCCTTCTTGTCCGTATTGTCCGGATTCCATTACGTCACTTTTTTAATATATATTCACTGAACACTTGTCGATGTTACCTGCTCCGAGGTCAAACACAAACTGACAAAACTGCAAATTGGATTTTGATCTCGAACTATTATAAAGAAAAATGTAAATTAGATATTATCATTACTGAAGAATTAACTTGGTTCAAGAGATTCAAAAATATCACGCAAATTGGAGCACAGTAGAAAAGCTCAAGGTTACACCCTTTATCCGTAGATAGATTAGTGCACATATGAACAGAATTTGACCAATTAATTCACTTAAAATATGTACTTAAGTAATAATGTATCTCGAACTATTATTAAGAAAAATGTAATTTAGAAAACAAATTAATATATAGAACGAGAATATAAAAATTATAGGCAACATTAATGGAGCAATTATTTTGGATGAGAAAATCCAAGGTTACATTATACCTTTGCCGCGGATACTATTATATTCATTCTTTCTGAATTCGTTATACTGTTCAAAAGACTGCAATTTCCAATACGTATATCTTATGCTATAAATCATAAAGGCAGACGATGAATTTTTATGTGATAAATTTGGAAAATCGATGTTTTAGTCGTGAATAAATTAAAAAATATTTATTTATACATCTATATCTACAGGTATGACTAAAAATGTTGGATAACCCTTGGCATTAAAATAAATTCAGCTATTGGAAATAAATTCGTTCAATAAATTGTAGTGTATATTTCTAATATAGTATTTTATTGAACATATTTCAATACACATTGTTTAATAGTTTTACGTGGCTAATTTGAAGTTCACAGTATAACTAAAGTGTTAAGTGTGAGGTCTGAGACTCATCATTTTATTTAAAGCAGTTTTACATTAAAAATCTCCCATATGGATGTATATACTTTTCGTTATAGACTGTAGTATAAAAAACATAATCATTTTTAACTAATTGGTGAATATCAGTATAGGTTATTAAAAAAAATTTGTTACTTTAGAATTGTAGGCATGGGTACAAGACAAAGTCCGTCGGGGGTCATCTAGTATATATATATATATATATATATATATATATATATATATATATGTATATATATATATATATATATATATATATATATATATATATATATCTGTGTGTGTGTGTGTTCATAAATATAAATATTATAAATAGTATTTTATTCATTTTTAAATTAATATATAAACAACATAATTTATTTAGGATCACAAATTGTACTACAACCAAGTACTAATTATTTTTATATCCATGTTGTAGACAATTTTTTTTTTCAGATAACTGAATTAAAAGCTCATCACTTTACAATGGAACAAGAATTTAGAAATAAAATGAAGGATTCAGAAAGAAGATTTAATGACAAATGTCTGATGATGGATACCAAAATCCAAAGTCTCTTAAAAGAAGTTGCAACGTTGTCAAAATCTGCAAAGCGTACAAAAGATGTAGCATGTAGTGGCAATAGTGGCAGTGGTACTGATAGCCCAAGTAATACTTAAAATGGTTAGTAAAGTATATGTTATATTCTTCTATTGTTTTTTTTTTAAATTGTTTGTATATCATTTATATTGTACTAAAATATAATGACTAGTATGTCGATCAAGGAAAAGACAACTTTTAACTTCCCGTAGGATAATTAAAAGTAGCCGGAAAAAAAAATCGAATATGAAATTTTTTATAAATCTTTACGTTTCAAATTCTTCTGAACATTTTGGCATATCTTATATCAATAGATGAATGTGAGTGTATGTATGTATGCTCGCATACCATTTTTCGTTCAAGATTTCGAGAACACAGATTATCCAATTTGAATGATTCAAATATCATTGACGCGTGTGCGTGCTGATTAGTTTTTGTCTAAGGCAGATCTAGTTGTTTCGGTGATACGGTGCAAAAAGTACAAAAATTGTGTGAATAATTATAATGTATATTTTGGATTTGAAATTTGAAATTCAATTGAAGTTCATTGAAATTTGGCGAAAAACGACTGAAAGTTGGATAAAAAATTATTCGATTTTTAAATTAAAAATGAAATGGAAATTTAGAACTGTACATGTTCATAATTACAATTTATAAAAAAAAATAAGATATTGATCCAGAATATAATAATAATTCTTACGGGTTGATCCTCATTGCTTATGGGTATGAAAAATGGATGTTGGCAGATTTTCAATTCACACCGAGCATGATTGTAAAATTTCATAAAAATCGATCCAATAGTTTCGGAGGAGTATTGCGATGAACAGTATGTCAAGAAATTTATATATATATATATATATATATATATATATATATGTTAAATTTTTATAATTTTGATGTTGAGATATGTGAGATTCAGTCTTCAGGGCAATACATCAATTAAAAACTTGTATGACTTTAAAACATTTTTATTTTTTCCATACGTTTCGACACATAGTTTTGTGTCATCTTCAGTGGACACTAGTTTGAAGGCACAGATAGAAATTATTAATTGAAACTAATATATAAGAAGTAATATGGTATGAACTTACATGTAATTGTAATAATCCTAATTATTTCATCATTATAATTGTTCACAATGCACAATGAAACTAATTCTTGTCACTTTAAATTGAACAATATATAAATTTTAGAATGAGTTTTTTTTATGAAATTGTAAAGTACATCCCGCTATTCCGTATTCCGATGCACGAGTGTGAAGCCTAAATGTACACAAATATGCGCACCACGTGTTAAAAGCTAGGTACAGAGCACACGAACTCACCAGAGAATTTAAGGTTTGACAACGCGAGGAGGGTACATATAGTAAAATATAAAAATATGACAATTGTGAGGGTGGACATAGTTGGTAGAATTGAGATAAAAATTAAAAGAAAAATAAAAATTAACATTAAAATTAATATAATTAAAACGTCGATCAAGATAGGTAATTATTTTAAAAGTATGAATTTCGAGACATTGTTTAAAACTACTTGGTAATTCTCACACAGTGAAGAAGTATCTAATCTTTTGTTTATGCTATTTTTAAAAAGGTGTATGAAACATGATTCTGAAAAGCGTCTCTGCGATGTATTCGACTCGTGATATAAAATTGTGGCAACATCAAAATTGAAAATATGATTGAAACTTTGGATGTGGTCAGTTATCATTGTTTGATTTTGATTTTTATTTTTGAAGTTGTTGTAGTGTTGTCTAAGACGTTTTTTTAGATGTTGTCCAGTTTCGCCAATATCAGTGGCCTTACAATTTGTACAGTCAATTTTATACACGATGTTAGAAATACGATCTAAACTTGTCGGTGATTTTAAGTTCGAAAATAAAAAGTTAAGAGTCTGATCAATATTGCAAACTAAACGCAACTCCGTAAATTCAAACAGTTTTTTCCAAATAGGAAAGAGATTTTTAATGTATGGGAGACAAATAGTGCCAATAAACTTATTTTCTTCTTTTTTCTGGGACTCGAGGGAAGGATGATTATGTTTTGTGTTAAGGACGGAAAGCCTGTTGTTAATTACTGATTTTATAAGATGTGGAGGATAGCAATTATTTAATAGGGTTCTGTGGATTAGAGATAAGTTAAAAGGCCAAAACTTTTTATCTGACAAGAGAATATAGCATGATCAACTAGATTGATAATAGTATCAATTTTCATGTTAGTAGGATGATAAGAATGGAAATTGAGATATCTGCCAGACCACGTTGGTTATTGGTACCAGTTAGTAATAATTTTATTTTCTGGAGTTTTTATGATATTTACATCTAAAAAGCTAATTGATCTATTTGTTTTTCTTTTTCGAAAGTGAAGGTGAGGTGTTTATTAAAGGAGTTAAATTTTTTTAGTAAAGAATCAAAGTTATTTTTAGGAATGCAAGTAATTATATCACCGACATATCTGTAATAAAAGAAAAATTCAACATTAGATAGTTTAAAGACGTTTTTTTCGAGGTGTTGTAAAGAGAGTTCAGCAAGAGCAGGTGAGATAGGCGATCCCATGGGTGTACCAAAAATTTGTTTATAAAAATGTGAATTGAATTCAAAATAAGTATTCGCGACTATGAATTTAATGGACTCTCGAAACCAATGGAGAGAAAGGGTAGTGTGGCAAGAAATCTCATCCCATCTATCTGTGATTTACTCTAAAATTAGTTCTAGTGGGACATTTGTGAAAAGAGAAACTACATCTTAGCTTAAAAAGAGAGAGTTCTTGGGCAATTGTGTATTACGTATTTTGTTGACAAATTCGAAGGAATTTTTAATAAAGAAAGGAGAATTAACAGCAATTATGGAGAGGGGTTTGCTCAGAAATTTGGAAAATTTATTTAGGGGAGAATTCAAATCTGCAACTATAGGTCTGAAAGGGTACGTTGGTTTTGTGGATTTTTGGGAGACCGTATAATTTTGGGTTGTTAGGATGTAGGTTTTTTAACGACAAGGACAAGTCTTGTGGAATTTGTTTAGTAGATACTAAATTATTAATGAATTTGTGGAAAGTGCGGTTGATTTGATCTGTAGGATCGCTATTGATAGGACTGTAAACGTTAGTGTCATTAACTAGACTAGTGATTTTTTCTAAATAGGTAGTTTTGTCGAGAACTACTGTGACATTTCCTTCATCTGCACTGGTTACTAAAATATTCGGATTATCTTTGAGAAAGTTTTTACAAAGTTTTATGTCTCTTAAAATATCTTTGTAATCAAGAATTTTTTTGGAAATAAAGGACTTGATGTAGGAGAGAAAATTTTTGCAAAAATGGGAACGAATGTTAGATTTTACTTCAAGATTTTTGATGTTATGAAGGCCAGCTTCTAGTCTGCTTAGAACTTAAAATAAAATAACAAAATTTAAATTGTGGCAATTATTGGGGATAGCAAAGTTAGGACCTAGTGCAAAAATGTAAAGTAATCTATCTGGAATTGTGACGCTGGAAAGATTTTTTAGCCATTTGTTAATTAGTGTACTATTTAATACTATTTTTGAAAGGTTGCGTTTAGACTTAACTCGAACTTAATTTTATAAGAATTTTTTAATTTGATGAAAAATTTGTTGTTACGAGTCGATTCGTATTCAGAAAAGCTGAACCAAGCGTACGTTTTATCAATAGCTAGTTTCAAGTTATTGACATTGCAAATACAACTCTTGATTTCAATGGATAACATATGGAGGCTTAATGAAGAAATTTTTTTTCTTATCTATATATATTCTTATCCAGAGGTCGGCAACGCGGCGCCCGCGGGCGCCATGGAGCCCCCGATCAACTTTAGATGCGCCCTCGGTTAATGTAAATGTATGATAACCTTAGCATAAATGAATTTCATATTTTTCAAGTATATATTGCATATTGTTGTAAGTCTAAAAATATATATAGAAAATTTTACTACTATATCATATTTAGAAGTTATAGTCAAATTAGCAGAAGAGTTTTGTTCAAGATTTCGCAGCACTAGAACCCGTTCTAGCATTTTTTATAAACCCATTCAAAGTTGCCGAAGATGATCTTCTGAAAAGTGTTTCAGTGTATTTCGAAATTAGTAATATCGAAGACGTGGAGTTAGAAATAATAAACTTACAAAATGATATTATTTTAAAAGCACATGAAGTAATGATAAAATGTTTTGGAAGTCAATGAAAATACGTATCCTATTTTAAGGAAATGTGCGCTAAAAATTTACTCATATTGTGCAACAACATACAATTGCGAGTCTTTGTTTTCAAATATGAAATATTTGAAATTAAAATACCGAGCAGAGTTAAATGACACACATTTAGATAACTGTTTGCGGACAGGGAACTTTAATTATATTCCCAATTATAAAAAATAGCTGAAAATACGGACACACAAGTTTCACACTAAATTATGTGTATATAATTAGGTAATATTAAATCATACTCTTCTTTTATCGATGTACTGAATGTTCGTAATGTATATATTATATTATATTAAGTCTTAGCAACTAAGAGAATAAAGGTATGAAAAATCTTTTTTTTTTCATACCGATGCGCCCTCGGTAATTTTCAGATTTAGTTTTGCGCCCTTAACAGCAATCAGGTTGCCGACCCCTGTTCTTATCTATATATATATATATATATATATATATATATATATATAATAAAATAATTTATTTAAAAGTAGATTTAGCGAAGGATGCCTAATATCTTTACTCTCGTAAAACACTTTTTCAACTCTTTTTGCAAAATTAAAATCGAAGTTTAACCCAAGAATCTTAAGTAATCCAGTTTATAAGCTTAATTGTCTAGATTGTAATTGCGTCTACATAGGTGAAACCAGTCAAAACTTGCACAAAAGAACATCACAACACAAAAACAACTCTAAAAATAAAAACCAGAATAAAACACAACTAACAGATCACATTAATCAGCTCAAATAATTTCAGATCACATTAATCAGCTTTGCAATGACTATAAAATAATCAATGACCTGAAATTTTCAAAACACCACCATACCTGAATGAAGCGTGTATTGTATTATTTTATTATTTTACTAAAAACATATGTTTGTCAGTCTTTTTACACTTTCGCAAAATTTGTAAACACAATTCATTTAGTATTTAGACGTTAGTCAATCTGTACACACTAGAATGTAACCAAAAATTGTCAACTAGCTGTAAGTGGAATTCTGTCTTAAGGCAATTAGGGCATCGTGCCTTAAGGCAAATTGCTGAAACTTCCCGTACCAAAAATTATTATTTTTTCAAAAACGATTAACATTTTTGAAAAAATTTTACTTTGCAAGAATAAGATTTTTGAGAAACTATAAATTGGACAAAGAATTACTTTTTCTTGAAAAAAAATTTTTTTTTTAAAAGAAATTCTAAAAAAAATTTTTAAATTTTTTTTTTTCTGAAAAAAAATGTTTTTTTAATTTTGACATATTTTGGAAGATCTGAACTTTTTTTCAAAGCAATCGTACTGCCGCAACTGCATAGAAACAAAATATAAAGCGCGTAAGCGCCGCGTCGCTGTCTAACGGATAAACATTGGTACGGAACCCATAGGAATGTAAACAAAATTCATACTTATTGTTAAAATCTCTATAATTTGATGTGCATATGTCTAATGATCATTTTTGACCGCGAAATGGCATTTTTTTTACTTTTTTCGTTAGATCTCCGAAACCGCTAGACCTGCCTTCATGAAAATTTGATCAATTCTTCACCATGTCAATACAAGTAAAATGTTTTTTGAATTATTAAAATCGGACGCTCCGTTCTTTTAAAAACTGAGTTACCGTTTTCGGCACTTTTTGCCCCGTATCTTCGGAACGGCTAGACTTGCCTTCGCCAAAAACTAATCAGCACGTCTCCTTATCAATACGAATCGAATGCTTTTTGAATTATTCAAATCGGTTGATCCGTGTTCCCGAAATCGTCGACGAAAATTTGTATCCGCACATACACACACACACATACATACACACACACACACACACACACATACATCCATTTTTTTCTAAGGTATGCCAAAATGTTCAGAAACCTCTGAAACGTAAAGATATATAAAAAATTTCATTTTCGATTTTTTTGCGATTACTATAACTTACCCTACGGGAAGTTAAAAAAATTAGTTTAAATGTTCCAGTTATTAATAGCTTGGTTTATCACAGTGTAAAAGTGTAGTGTATTTTTGATAATTAATTTCTGTAAGTATTTATATATAAGTTCTATAACTTTATATTATTTTCCTCGTACCTCATATAAAATCTTTTAGTTTTTCCACTGAATGACGGTCTCGATGAAGACCGAAACGTATGGATAAATAAAGTATTTCAAAATTACTTTAGTTTTTTTACTTGGTGTTACTGCCCGATTCTAAATAACTCATCAAAATATATATCAACACCAAACTCACATATTTCAATATATTTAAATATATATATATATATATATATATATATATATAAATAAATAAATGAAGCTCTCGATCAAATGATCCGGTAAAACTCGAAAACGGCTAAACCGATTTGTCCAGTCTGTCTTGAAAAATTCGTGCCAATCCAGAGAAGGTCGGAAAGGTGATATAATATTTCAAAATCGCGTTGAAACTTTACATTTTTAATTTGAAAATTTTTGTAGAAGCTTAATTTGAATAAAACAATGGACGGTGGCTACGTGAAATGTCAAACCGTTTTTGACAGGTGATGTTCAATTACTTTTTTTAATACGTTGTTTTACGTGAATATTATTTAATTATGATTAAATTGTAGTAAGTAGTTTTGTTTGTAGTTTTATTTATACACAAAAACGTTATTAAACGGGCCGCAAGTGTTATTACAAACTCAAAATATGAACTTTTTTGGAATGTTAATATGAAAATGCACTTTTTTAGCATATTTTTCTCAAACACGGTGCTCTGAAAGATCTCATTTGTATAATTATATATTCATTGGTATTTATAAAATATTTTTAAGGTTATATTATTTTTTATTTATGTTATTTAAATTCAGAACCTAAATTTGGTATCGATCAAAGGGTCATTTTGTCGAATAACATTTTCCCAGTTATAATATCCCAGAATTTATCGAAAAATAGATAGTAATATATGAAGGTCCGGGGTTAAAAAAGTCCAGCACCGATGTGTCAAAAACCAGTAAAGTTAAGCATTGTTTAACAAAGATATTTGAAAGTAGAGGGAAAAAGATGTATAACCAGCTATAACCTTGATTCTTGTGACTTTGCTATCGGGAGATAAACGGTAATCTTTGAGAATCCAGAATAAAAGTATTTTCTTTTGTTGGTAGTTTTTTAGCATTAGTTAAAAATGAAATTATTTTGTAAAATACCTTTAAAATTAAAATAAGACATTAAACATGTTTGCCACCTGGGCGTTCCAAGTTACTCCGCCTATAGGGTAAAAAGGCCTAGATAACAAATTTTTGAAAGACAGCAAAAAAGCACATTTCTACAACGCTGACGTATCTGACAATTTTACTGAACGTAGTCAGATAATTGTTCGTTTGAAATGTGTTATTTGTTGTGATATAATTGGTTTGATTTTTATAACGTAATTAATATTTGCCGAAATCAAATTGGATCTTTGTGCCTCGCCCTGATCTACATATACACTTTTTATTAAATTTACTATAATTTATCGAATGTTACTTGAAACTTTTCAAAAAGCAGGTCAAACAAGAAACACGTAATTCATTTTCTATATTCTCTCCTCGCAGAAATTTGAAAATTGTGTATAAGCTCAGTAGTATTATTTATAATTACACACAAAATCCAGAATCCAAAAAGAATCTGAAAAACTTGAAACGTAATCAATAATTCGAAAGACCAAAAAAGACTTGGATTGGATTATATCATGTTTTTTTATAGAAAATGTATAAAACTTCCAGTTTGATTGTTTGGAGAAAATATAGACAAACTAATGTGGTTTATTGTTTTTATAAAGCCTCATTGTATATAGCATTCAAACAACACATCCTTATACACTTAAAGTATTAATATTTTTGATTCTCTAGAAATTGTTTAGAATATACCTTACTTAGCTCTCTATTCTTTAAACAATCATAACTCTATCAATATCTGTGTAATAAAAAATAATAAATTTTAAGAAAATGAGTAGTTTTTTGACGTTTGTTAAAATTAAAAATAGACCACTTAATTGGTATAACGATAGAGTTCTTAGTTTTAATGAACATACTGAGCCTATGGAAACTGGTTCAATTATAATAATTGTTGATTTTTGAAAGTTTGCTTTTAGAAAATACTCCGAGTCAAAGTGTTCGTTCGTGTTTAATTATGTGTAATAAATCCACTCGGATACTTTTAATCACTCATAAATTAATTTATTTTTTATTGATTAAGTCGATTATTCACACATTTCGGGAAGTTCATGTAACTTGCCTCAAGGCTAAATACCAAGCCAACTAGTTTGATTCACTTGTCGCTGAGTTATAGAATTCTAAAAAACAAATGGAATTTTCCCCATGTTATTTTTATAAGAAACTTTATATATATATATATATATATATATATATATATATTTATATTTGCATTTTCTGTTAATAATTTTTGTTTATTAACTTCCCGTAGGGTAAGTTATTGTAATGGGCCGAAAATCGGAATTAAAAATTTTTACATTTCTCGACGTTTTGAAGGTTTCTGAACATTCTGGCTGTGTGTGTGTATGTGTGTATGTGTGTATGTGTGTATGTATGTATGGATACAAATTTCCAGTCACGTTTTCGGGCGCACGGATCAACCGATTTGAATGGTTCAAAAAGCATTCGATTCATATTAATAGGGAAAAGAGCTGATTAGTTTTTGGCCAAGGCAGGTCCAGCCGTTACCGAGGTACGGAGCAAAAAGTGCAGAAAATAGAAATCGAGTTTTTGAGAGAACGGAGTATTCGATTTGAATGATCTAAAAACATTCAATTAGTAATGATTGGGAAAAGTGTTTGTTAGTTTTTGGCAAAGGCAGGCCCAGCCATTTCGAAGATACGGAGCTAAATATGTAAAAAATGGCAGTTTTTGAGAGAACTAAGCGTCCGATTTAAATGATTCAAAGAACTTTCTGCTTGTCTTAACAAAATAATTGATTTTGGAAAAAAAAAATTCAACTTTTTCAATTCAGATTTTATTTTTAATTCTGACTATAGTTCTAATATACTTCACAAATAATTTCAACTTTGCAATTCAGTTTATACAACTCTTATAAATATTAGACAATGTTACAATATTTATAATAATCTATTTGAAAACATTCAGTATTCCTTGAACATTTCGTTACAGTACGGGAAGTGCCAGCAATTTGCCTTAAGGCACGATGCCATAATTGCCTCAAGACAGAATTCCATTTACAGCTAGTTTTTATATTTATATATGTTTTTGTATTTACATTAACATTCATTGTATGTCTTGAAATATGTATTCAAAATAGTGTATAGTTTGAATGTGTGTCTAATAAAAAATATCATAAGAAATTTCTCGAAAAAAATTCAAAAGTGTTAGTGGCGAACAATCCTCACTGAAAATTAAATTTTAAATTTTAAATCAAAACAAAGTTTTTGCATCACCTGAGGATAATCTGAATATAAATTCAATGTAAAGCTTCCTCAAAAAGACGATTGACCAGTTATTGAGAGGTTAAAGATGATGAATGAAGTTGCTAAGTGTGGCAGAAAGGTGAAAATTTGGGTTGTATGTAGTTTTCAATCTCGCGTTGAAAAATTATGTAATTACTATAATAATTCTTACGAAATGTGCGATTATATAAATTTTTTATAGACTTATAAAAGTGGCACATATTTGCATATGTTTTTATTTTTCAGATGCTGTTGGACATCATTATAAAGTTGAAGACCGCCATTTTATTGGACGCAGTATAAACAAGATATTATATGAATGTTTTGTTATATAGTTATGTTTTCTACAATATACGTATTAATTTCGTATAATAGAAAATATAATATTTATTGACATTTGATATTATTGTAGTAAAAATCACCATACGTATTTTTTTATTTGTGGACATTGCGTGAATAATTATATTGTAATTTTTGGATATACCAATTTTAAATAAAATCATATTTTAATATTTTAAATATGTATCAAATTCAATATAGAAGGAATGTGGCCTTATGTTCTATTACAATTATATATTCTAGCATACGTTAGCTTCTCCATCAGTTTTTTCGACTTCAAAGTTGTAAAATTGTATGCGTTTGTCAAGCCGTTTCCTCGACGTTATTTAAAAATGTACAAGTTTTTTTATGATATCCTTTATATTGATCAAGCCGTTTCTTACAACTAGTTTTTTCAAAAAACATTTTTAGCCTATCTAAATAATTCAAAAACTCTATAAAAGTTAGCAGTTAGTCATGTCGATTAGTTTTTGGTTAAGTTCGACCATGCGCTTTCTTCTTTGTACTTTATAAAAAAAAAGACGATTTATGAAACCCAGGTATTGTCGCCTGTAAAGATAGAGTTCATGATCTTAACAAATATATCAGAAAATTTGGACTCATAACATGTGGTTTATTTGTCATTTAACCTTATTTATTGTTTAAATATCATTAACACGTTGAAGACCGCATCGAAAATCGTGCTTTACACGTGGGGATCGCATCAAAAATGGTCTATTCCAGTATATAACCGTGTGTCCACTCGTAACCACCTCTTTCGACTTCAATTTAAAAAAAATACTTTTAGTAATGCTATCGACTTGAAATTTCTTGTCTTTTCCTAAAATTTCATTAGCTGTCGGTCAATGAAAAAATCAGGACGAAAAAATGTACAGAAGGATAATTATAAGGATATTAATTTTTTTATACTTCAAACGGTCGGAGCGGCCTGTCTAGACCACCCAAACATTTTGTACGAAATATGACGCGTTTTCATCAGTATTTTGTCTTTTTTTCTGGTATTTTCTATTCAAACTGCGTTTTATATATTCTTTGCTATGTGTTGTAACATGAATTTACAACTTTTATTTTATAAAGTATTTACACGCACACATATGAAAATGCCTTGAAAACCTATCAAACTTATTGGTTATCGCAACTATTGAAAATCGGATGAATAATGCGCACATTATCAACAATTTTTCTGACCGTACTGCGTTCGAAACTTTTTTTGGTAAACATGTAGCCGTAAGTATGCAGTTCAGTTGAAATTATATTTTCACTATGAGTTTTACAGCTCATTCCACAGGCGGCGCACCTCATTTCGTTTTCATTTGAATTTCATATTCATTTCGAAGGCGCCGAAGAAGAGTAAATATTGTTTTTCATTGATAAAAAAACATAAAAAATAACAAAAAAGCAACGATTTTTTTTATATTCCATGTTTTTTTTTAAATATTTTTATTAGAGGCAAGCTCAACCATGCGAAAGACGGTAGGAAAAACAAAAAATCAAAACTATAAACATTTATTACTAATAATCGTTAATATATGACACCAAAAACTCATTTATCCAATATAAATGCATGTAAAATGAATAGTGGTCCAGCCAAACCACTCCGACCGTTCGAATGTAAATAAATATTCGACCGACGGAGGGTTAAGTATAGTGGCGTATTTGTCGCTATAAGTCATGATGTTGTTTAATGACTTCCACTGAAAACAGCTTCCTGATCCCATCTATAGCGGCGAAAAGACCCTCTGGTGTATTTAGGTCTGGATCTGACTGGTGGTGCAGGTGATGGTGATGATGCAGGCTGAACCGGTGATGGTGAAGACTGGATCGGAGTTCGGAATGGTGACAGTGAGTTGAGGATGCGCAGGTTTGGCGAGAAGCTCATCGTCAGCGGCACAGGCGTTGGTGCTGGCCTGTATATTTCTCTTTTTCTGATAACGTCACTTTTCTTCTTCTCTTTATAATGAAGTAGTGCAGTGCATTTAGAGCAGTTGGTCGGATAATCACTCTTGCAAATAAAACATATCGGATCAAATATCCAATGTGTCATTTTTAATTTTAAAACGATTTTATTCAACAAATGCAAAATATAAATTTCATGGGCACATTTTTTACAGAAATAATACTTGGATTTCGTATTATGTCAGAAATATTAATCAGCAGGTTTGGAATAACTATTTATTTAATTAATCTTATGTAAAATTGCTCTCTTCAACTTAATTTACTTTTTAATTTACTATTTTATTCGCCAGGGAAAAGGTTCAGTTGGTCCTTTTTAACCCACCCACATGTAAGCTTTATGGTGTTTTATTTTTTATAAAATTAAAAATGCATCGTATAAAACAATTAAAACGTCTACTTAAATCGTACACTAAACAACAGTCTTCACAACCAGATTTCTCAGATTTTTGTAAGAAGTCGTTTTTTTTAAATAAAGTTGATATTTTTTTAAATTTTCCTAAGTTTGAAAAATTTCAAAAATTTTAGTTTTCTTCAAACTTTGAATTTTTTTGATAATTTGGATTTTTTTTGAAAATTTTCAAAATTTCCAAATTTATGTCAAAGCATTTTTTGCACACTTCCTACTCAAGCAAAATGTTTTTTTAAACTATTAAATTCGGATGCTGCGTTCTCTTAAAAACTGAGTTACAGTTTTTGGCACTTTTTGCCCCGAGTTTTTGGACCGGCTAGACTTGCCTTCGCCAAAAACTAATCAGCACGTCTCATTATCAATACGAATCGAATGTTTTTTGAATTATTCAAAGCGGTTGATCGGTGTTCCCGAAATTGACGAAAATTTGTATCCACACATACACGCACGCACATACACACACACATTCATCCAATTTTTCTAAGGTATCCCAAAATGCTCAGAAACCTTTGAAACGTAAAGATATATTTTTTTTTCGTTTTTTGCGATTATTATAACTTAACCTACGGGAAGTTAAATAAAAAAAAGTGATCAGTGGGATCATTAACTAGAGGTTTATAAAAATTACCGTCATCTAATAAATCACAAGTTTTTGAAAAATAATCAGACCTATCAATCACAACTGTAAGGTTTCCCTTATCAGCTTTAGTGACTAAAATATCAGGGTTATCATTAAAAACTATTAACATAATTTAAGATCTTTCACAACTTCCAAATGTAAGGGTAAAGAACAAATGTTTTTTTTGAATAAAGGATAAAAGATTATTACAAGCGATTGACCTAAACTTAGTTTCTTTTTCAATGCCTTTTTAGGGACCGATTCTGCCGCATAACAGAAAAATGTTTCGGTAAAGCCATGTTACGCCCCGGCTTCCATACTTATGAATCATACTGAATACTGAATACTGAATACAGTTTTTTTTGAATAAAGGATAAAAGATTATTACAAGCGATTGACCTAAACTTAGTTTCTTTTTCAATGCCTTTTTAGGGACCGATTCTGCCGCATAACAGAAAAATGTTACGGTAAAGCCATGTTACGCCCCGGCTTCCATACTTATGAATCATACTGAATACTGTCAAAATGTCATGTATTTGCTGTTCATTCAGGCGTTTTACACATAAACTGCAACGTCACTCGTATGTTACGGAGCTCTATCAGAAACACACTCTTATCTAACATGGTTTTTTTGACATTTGTGTGGCTTTTAGATTATGTTTTGTATCAGAAAACCTGAGAAATTCGCCTGACTGCACGCCAACCGCGCATTACATTTGTCAATATTAATATGAAAAGTTCTTCATAACATGGCCTTGCCATAAAATTTTTTTGTTATGCGGCAGAATCGGTCGGTTAATTTACTAATCCAATCTCCAAATCACTAAGGACTTTCAAAAAATTAAATTTTAATTTAGAAGGAGGAAGGGAAAATTTAGGACCAAGAGCAAAAATATACTTTAAACTAGTGGTGTGTATGGATGGCATCGTGCCTTAAGGCAAATTGCTGGAACTTTCTGTACCGTAACGAAATGTTCGATGAATATTAAATGTGTTCAAATAGTTTAATATAAATACTCTGTAACTTTGTGTAATATTTATAAGAATTATATAAACTAATTTTCAAAGTTGAAAATATTTGTTTAAAGTATATTAGATCTTAAGTCAGAATTACAATTAATTTTTGATATACAAAAAAAAATATTGAAAAAAAATTGAAACATTTTTTTTCCAAAAGCAATTATTTTGTTAAAACAAACATAAAGTTCTTTGAATCATTCAAATCGGACGCTTAGTTCTCTCAAAAACTGCCATTTTTTGCACATTTATTCCTGTATCTTCAAAACTGCTGGAGCTGCCCTTGCGAAAAACTAATTACCACTTCTCCCCGAATTCATTACGAATTGAATGATTCTCTCAAAACCTTCATTTCTATTTTCTGCACCCTTTGCTCCGTATCTCTGAAACGGCTGGACCTGCCTTTGGCAAAAACTAATCAGCACATCTCCCTGTCAATAGGAATCGATTGTTTTTTGAACCCTTCAAATCGGTTGATCCGTGCGCCCGAAAATGGGGACGAAAAATTGTATTCATACATACATACACACATACATACATACATACACACACATGTAGTAGAAGATGCTGAGCATGTGTTCTTCGTGTGCCCGCGATTTGGTGCTCTACGGGATGACGTGGAAGAGACATTGGGAGGCAGAATTACCCCAGGTAATGTTGTTGAAGTGATGCTGGAAAGTGATGCTGGCAAGTGATGCTGCTTGGAACGCCATAGATAGATTTGCGAGAGACGTTTTAATGGACCTGCGTTCTATAGAGAGAGAAAGGGCGAATGGCACTTCGCCCATTTAAAAAATAAGTATAATGTTTATTAATTATAACATTGTTTATAACAAGTTAAGAATTGTCACATTCTAGATCCTCCCCCCACGAAGTAATGCCTAACAGCGGTTTCCGTGGGGACCAGAGGCATGGGCAAAGCGGAGGTTTTAGTCGGTATTATACCAGGGCGGTATCGAGTCCGACATACCCAGACAGAAGACCGGTCTGGGATGCATAAAAGCATTTCCTTCGCTATACAAAAAAAAAAAAACTAGCTGTAAGTGAAATTCTGTCTTAAGGCAATTAGGGCATTGTGCCTTAAGGCAAATTGCTGGAA